TTATATAGTTTCAGTAGCAGGATTTAAAAAAAAATTTTTTTTTAACGTTTATTCATTTTCGAGAGACAGAAACAGAGTGTGAGTGGGGGAGGGGCAGAAAGAGAGGGAGACACAGAATCCGAAGCAGGCTCCAGGCTCTGAGCTGTCAGCACAGAGCCCGACGCGGGGTTCGAACCCACGAACCGTGAGATCATAACCTGAGCCGAAGTCAGACGCTTAACTGACTGAGCCACCCAGTGCCCCCATTAACAGGATTGTCTTAAATTTAGTGTTACTCGATAATGTGTCTTACAATGAATGGGGTCTGAGATTTGGTGAAGTGTGGTCAGTTAGGTCTGTATGGGTCTCTGCTCCAACCTTTACTGCCCCGGACAACTTGGATGGTACTTCCTCTTTGGGAAAGTTTCATGTGCTGCACTATCCAAGATGGGCACTGCTGAGAGCAGATCCTAACTTTCATGTTTAACTGGGTCATGCCTTACCCTCTTTCTTTAAATACACAATTTATTTTTATTGTGCTTCCACGTTTTCACTCCAGAGTGAAAGTGCTCCCCTGCGGTTTACCTCATCAAGAAGACTGGATCCAGTCATTCCAAATAATTTTGTAGACCTGAAGGCAACTGTTTGCAAAGACAGTCCTTCTTATGGCGGTATAACATTCATCTAGATAGCCCGGGTTTCTTTTTGGGGAATGTTCTAGTAAGCTCAGTCTCTCTTCCTTTTCCTGCAAGGGGGTCCTGATGACAACCTAATTGAAGGTGGAGGAACAAAATTTGTCTGCAAACCTGGAGCCAGAAATATTACTGTCATATTCCATCCATTATTAAGGTAAGTCAAATCCTATGTACTTACTGAAAAATCAATATTTTCATTATTTATGCCGATGCACTGAATGCCAATAGGTCAGTCAGCATTGAAACAAGTCCTAAAGAAAAAAAAAGAGTGTTGCATCTCCTAGGGCTTTACTATCAAAGTTTGTCAATAAAACAAATAATGTCAACTCATCTTAGTACCTATTTGTTCTCAGGAATAATACTCCATGAATACTTTTTAAAAATTTTCTTTATTTCCTGTCCCTGCCCCTCTCCCTCTCTCTGTCATTGTCCCTCCCTTCCCTTCTGTGTTTATTTCAGGTAGGGGCGACTTATGGTCCACAGGAGAAATCTAGTCTGCCACCTGTTTTTTTTTTTTTTTTCACTAAAATTTTATTGACACAGTCATGCTCATCTATTCATGTATTGTCCATAGCTGCCTTGTGCTATGGTGTTGCAGAGTTGAATATTTGCAAGAGAAGCCATATGGCCTACGAAGCCTAGAATATTGACACATTGGCCCTTTACAGGAAAACATGGCAGACCCATGATCTGTCTCCCTAATTTACATTAATGATTCAGATATCCTTTGAGGATTGGCAAATCTTTAAACAAATATGACTTATCAAAACCGAAAGGCATTATAGCAGTTGCGTATATGGTTTTATATATTAAAGGACAGCTTGATGCTAACCAGAATAAAATCTGTTGCTCAGTTTATTGTGGTACTGTGATTATAAGAAAATAAAAATCTGTGATACTTCCATTTAAAAAACTTCAAAGCCCTAAATACCTTTAAAAAGAAACTTTTTTGGAAGAAGGGAAAAGGGGGTTATTATTCAGCGGCTCTAAAATGTTGGTTTTGCACAATGAAAAATGTCTAGAGAACTGTTGGATAACAATGTGCATAGAGTTAACACTACTGTACTGTATACCTAAAAAAGATTAAGATGGTGAATTAAATGGTAAACATTGTTGACTTCAATAAAAAAGGGTACTCTTTGGGGCACCTAAGCGGCTCAGTAGGTTAAGTGTCCGACTATTGATTTCGACTCAGGTCATGATCTCACAGTTCGTAGGATCGAGCCCCATGTGGGGCTCTGCACTGACAGCACAGAGCCTGCTTGGGATTCTCTCTCTCTCCTTCTCTCTCTGCCCCTCCCAACCCCTCGTGCAGGTCCTCTCTCTCTCTCTCTCTCTCTCAAAATAAATTTTTTTTTAAAAAAGGGTACTCTTTGGACACAGATATCTGATGTAATATTAAGTGTATGTTTTCTCTGTGATGAGCCAGTATTTATTTTTGCTTTGTTCATATAATGGACCAGAAACTCTTGGGTTCATTAGAGGTTAGGTCCTCAGATCATCCCATTAACTTTCTTATGTAACTAATATAATATTTGAGGCATTTGAAATAACAGGTAAGCAGATGCTACTAAATTGTCCAGATAGAATATTGAATGTACTTTTCTAAAACATGAGCAGTTTACTACTGGAACTATCCTACCTTTTCATTAACCAAGACTTACTAAATTGCAATCATTGGAATGAGTTCGATTCAGATCTCTTATTTAAGCAATGAGTTTTAAAAATTATGCTGAAATACTTTACTCAAAATTAGTTTTACATGCAGAAACACAAATATGTAAATTAAACAATAAAGACATCCTTCCATGCAGTAACAAAGAAGTTTTTTTTAACGTTTATTCATTTTTTGAGAGAGAGAGAGAGAGAGAGAGAGAGAGAGAGAGAGGCAGAGAGAGGGGGAGATACAGAATCCAAAGCCGGATCCAGGCTCTGAGGTGTCAGCACAGAGCCCGACACGGGGCTTGAACCCATGAACCGTGAGATCATGACCCGAGCCAAAGTCGGCTCAGTCAGCTGACTGAGCCACCCAGGCACCCCGATTTTTTTTTTTAAGTAGACTTCATGCCCAGTGTGAAGTCCGATTCGGGGCTCGGACTCACAACCCTGAGATAAGACCTGAGATGACACCAAGGGTTGCACCCTTAACTGACTGAGCCACCCAGGCACCCCAAAGAAGAGATTTTTAAAGAAGCATTATTAATCTTTCAAAAAACCTGTTTCAGCAAACATTCACAACAAGTAAATCGTGTAATTTAAGAATCACGGAATTAAGAGAATTAAGACTATTCCTCTATAAATCTAGTTGATTTTCTATATATAAACGTATGAATTGGAACATATAGAATTTCTGGATTAAGTGACAGTGCTCATATTTATTTCACCTGCCTTTGGTACTTAGTTTAATACTCATTTTCTTCTTCAATTAAATTGATTTCTACTTAGAGCTGCTAATTGTTAGGAAAATGGGAAAATACCTTAATCATTATAGGCATCTTCCAACCTGGATTTAGCGCCATAATTTACTGGTAAGTTATGCCATTGCATGGATAAATGAAATCCTTATGCTTATATTTGTTCCAAAGCATAGAGGAAGATCTTTGGAAGTTTTTTAGCTATATTGTCAATAACCACTTTTCAAGAGATTTTTTTTTTCCTAAGGTTGTTTTTTTTTTTTTCTTTCCCTTTGTTAAGGTGAAGTTAGAATGGGGGAAAAAGGTTATCCTTATTTCACACTTAATAAATTGCATTTTTGCAAAAATACTCATAGAGTTTAATGTATTACAGTTTTTGGCTATTATTTTTTAGCATTTATCCTGCTTTACAAGAGAGGTTTTAAGGCTTGGTAGTGCTCGTACTGGTTTTACACACTTGATTGGTCTCTATTTTTATTCAGGATTTTATTATTGATTAGAATTGGAGAAATGTTTGTTGCATGCCATGGTTTATAGTCATTCTCTGTGTAACTCTTAATGGAAGCCACAAGAATCTTACGTGGTCTGCAAGGTGAGTGAATTCCTTTCTAAGCAGGTGATCATTATGGATTTTGAATTAGCCTTTGGCTCAAATGGAAACCTTGCTTCTCAAACCCATATAGAGTCTCAGCTGAAACTTCATAATGGGCTTAAGGGACTTCAAATCATTAAGATCTTACAGTTTTGTTTTGTTTTGTTTTGTTTTAGTTTTTACACTTACAGATTTGGCAGTTATTAGATTTATTATTTCTTCTAAAGTTCGGAAGTTTAGTTTTGGTAATGAGAGGAAAGTGCACCTTATCATACCAGTGCATTTCATTTTTACTCAGTGTTTAAATTTTTCATTTCTCCTCTGGCCACTCAGTCATTCGTGATCAACAAATGTGTATTGAGCACTTATGATACATGTTTTCCCTTCTGTAAGTTAGGTGAGGATTCTTTAGAAATAGTCACTCTTATTTCTATGGGATTATTTCAACAAAATACGTATACATATATTTTCCATCCTCTAGAATGCCCCTTGTCGTGTTTCCGTGCAAGCTCAAAGTGAATGTGATTTTGCACATTCTTATTTACAAGACAAGATAAACTATGGGAGAGGTAGCCTGGAAGAATGGAAAGAGGGGAGAAAAACACAGGATAAGAAATTTAAAGTGAAAGCCTCAACAAATTAGGGGCACATCCAGGTTCCTTCTGTTCGGTTTTACTCACTGATTATTTATTGGACTCTGATTCTATGCCAGGTCCCAGGGACACACAAAAAATAACATGAAATTCGTGCCTAAAAGGTACTCACTCAGTAGCTGCCTTGGTGGCAAAAACTGAGAAGCCCCCAAACGCCAATTATTGGCGCGGACGGAGATGATCTCTTACACCTGGTGTGCAAACGGGCACAGCCTTTCCTGAAGCCAGTTGGGTAGCAGTGAGCAGTCACGTCCCTTCCACCCAGTACTGCACCGCCTCGACTCCCTTGTGTGCTTCTCCCTTGCAGGGACTTGTTCTTTTCCCATCCTCATTCCCCAAACTCTTCTCCTAATGGATCATAATAATCTTTACTTATAACTGGCATCCTATTCAGAAAGTGAGTTCAGAAGGAACTTATCACAAGTTGGCTTTTATCACCCATTTCAACACTGCCATTGTTTTCTTACACTCTCTCCTTCCGTGAACGGAGATAGTGTTCTTTGGAAGCCAGAAGCCATTTCAAGTGTGTAGGGCTTTCCTTTTCCTTTGCTACTTTCCCCCTGTGTCTAGCAATACTCGTATTCTGTCTTCCTGAACTTTGCATGTGGCTAGTCTACCCTTCATTTATTAAAAATGTTCTTTTCATGGGGCGCCTGGGTGGCTCAGTCGGTTAAGTGTCTGCCTTCAGCCCAGGTCATGATCTCACAGTTCATGAGTTTGAGCCCTGCATCGGGCTCTGTGTTGACAGGTCAGAGCCTGGAGCCTGTTTCGGATTCTGTGTCTCCCTCTCTCTGCCCCTCCCCTGCTCTCACTCTCTCTCTCTCTCTCTCTCTCTCTCTCTCTCAGAAATAAATAAACATTAAAAAAATATTCTTTTCATAATTTTCATTTAATTGCCAATCTATTCACTGTAGCACAAAAGTTTTCTTCATTGAGAACTCTGAACCACCCTATTCCAGAACACCGCACAGTGGATTCCCGTTATGCATTATGTTTTCTGTATTCTTAGCAGTCATTTTTCCTGTCCTCCCATGACATCATTGTACAAGGTCCCCGATCTGGCAACCTTGCTAGTGTATTTTTGCACTTTTCTCCTAAGTACTGCCATTTCTTCACTAGGAAATGTCATAGGGTGTTGGAGACAAATACGCCGACTTCCAGTTTGTTCACTCTGCGTTTACTCTGCTGCCTCCTTGACTTGCGTATTTAATGATTTTCCTTACTATTTTCTCATTCCAGTTAAGAAATCAGAAAATTGCCACAGAGAATGAAGTTTTAGAAAGATGAGGTATCTAGTATTATCTTGCTTGCTTTACCCGTAGCCTGGCAAGACACTGTGTGCAACTAAACCCTTAATGGAAGTTTTTGATGGCAAGGATTCATCTCATCAAGTTTGCTACCTCTGGGTCTCACTGAACAAAACATACTGAAATGAAGAGGTTCTTATACTTAGGTGGATTCTGACATAATTTCACCAAAATAGAGACCCTGAATA